GGGTCAGTTGATAGTTGGGAATTTCTTGTTACTTTATTGTTAATAGTTTTGATCTTCTTTTTCTTAGATAAGTCCCTTTGACATTTCATATAATAAAGGCTTGGTGATGATGAACTCCTTTAACTTGACCTTATCTGGGAAGCACTTATCTGCCCTTCCATTCTAAATGAAAGCTTTGCTGCATAGAGAAATCTTGGATGTAGGTCCTTGCCTTTCATGACTTGGAATACTTCTTTCCAGCCCCTTCTTACCTGCAAGGTGTCTTTTCAGAAATCAGCTGACAGTCTTATGGGAACTCCTTTGTATGTAACTCTCTCCTTTTCTCTTTCTGCTTTGAAGATTCTCTCCTTATCTTTAATTTTGGCTAATGTAATTATGATGTGCCTTGGTGTGTGCTTCCTTGGATCCAACTTCTTTGGGACTCTCTGAGCTCCCTGGACTTCCTGGGAGTCTATTTTCTTCACCAGATTGGGGAAGTTTTCCTTCACTATGTTTTCAAGTAAGTTTCCAATTTCTTGCTCTTGTTCTTCTCCGTCTGGCACCCATATGATTTGGATGTTGGAACATTTAAAGTTGTCCCGGAGGTTCTTAAACCTCTCTTCATTTTTTTTGAATTCTTATTTCTTCATTCTGTTCTAGTTGAATGTTTATTTCTTCCTTCTGTTCCAAATCATTGATTTGAGTCCCAGTTTCCTTCCCATCTCTGTTGGTTCCCTATATATTTTTCTTTATTTTATTTTACATAGCCTTCATTCTTACCCTCCATTTCACAACCATACTCAACCATTTCTGTGAGCATCCTGATTACCAGTGTTTTAAACTCTGCATCTGATAGGTTGGCTAACTCTCTATTACTTTGTTCTATTTTTGGAGCTTTGATCTGTTCTTTCATTTAGGCCATCTTTTTATTTGTCTTGATGCAACTGTTACATAATAAGGGGTGTAGCCTTAGGCTTTCACCAGGGCAGGGCAACCCACATTGCTGCGTTGTGATGCTGTATGTAAAGCAATGGTTCGAGAGGGAACAATGCAGCTTGCTTGGCTCTTGACTGGCTTTCAGTCACTTCCTCTGCTACCCACAAGCAAATTGGGCCCTTCTGGTGTTGATTCCCAATTGTGTGGGCTTGTGCACATTCTAGGACCCTGTGAGTCTCTCCAATGAAGTCTCTCATGAGGCTGGGAATTTCTTTTGCCACCACCACAACCCCCACAGGTTTTTACAGCCAGAGGTTTTGAGGCTTTATTTCTCTGCACTGGAACCCTGGGTTGCAAGGTCTGTCTCACTCCCCAGTTGCTCCTCCCAGTTTATTTGCACACAAATGTGGGACTGCCTGGTCTGCCAGCCACTGCCTTGCCATAAGTCTTCTCCACCCAGCTGCCAGTCTCTGCCCCTCCTACCAGTATGGGTGAATGTTTCTTCTTGAACTCCTTGGTTGTCAGACTTCCATACCGTTCAATTTTCTGGCAATTCTGATTATTTTTTGTTTTTAACTTTGTTGTTGTCCTTCTTTTGGTTGTGCGAGGAGGCAAAGTGTATCTAACTACACCTCGATCTTGGCTGGAAGTCACTAAATCTACTTTTGACTATTCCCCCAAAAGCCCAAAAGACACATGGACTAAAAGACTTTTCATCAATCAATGAATCAATTACCATTTATAATTCACATGTCAAAATTAATTAATCATGTTCTTTGTGTTAACTTTTTCTTGACATAACCTTTTTAGGAATCCCACCAGTCAGGTTGTCCACATGTTGAAAATAATTGACAATTTAATACAATGAACTAGCATTGCTCTAGCTACTTTGTATAAACAAATGATAAACTTTTAAAGGTTCATATGCATGATATAGTTTACTAGCAACTACATTACTGCAAGTGTTGACAGACCGTATCTATTAAAATTAAACATCTATGGTCATATAACAAGAACATTTTTACTTATTTTGGCTGAGTATAGCCAAGTGGTCTAGATTAAAGTCATGGCTCTGCCCCACACTTTGCTGCATAGTATAAACAGTAGGACATAGCATCAGTCACCATCCTTCCGCATACTAAATGGCAACATAGAATCACCAAGTAGGCTTTCAAATTCCATCTGGTTGGAGAAGAGATGACCTACCCAAGATTTTTTGTTCTCCCAATAGGCAGCCAAAAGTGGATGACTCTAAGCAAGAGAGTAAACACATGAATGGCCATGTCTGAGTAGAGTGGTGGCAAATAGCTTCTGAAGCAAGGTCTTGTCTTTGCCTACCAGTGGTCATCCCTTCTAAAGACCAGCAGGTGGCAGCATCCGTGCAGATTGTGTAATTGTAGGAATTGATGCCTTGGCTGTCAGAGGGAGGGGTTTGGGGGATCACAGTTGGAGGGGAAGGAGGTAACAAGAATAAAGTGGTGGCAGTCTGACTGAAAAGACATCAGGACAATATTATAACATCATTTTGGAAGTGAAACAAACCTGCTGTCATGGGATGTTCTTTCAACAAAAATGAATCTTGGCTAGTGGGAAGAAACAAGTTATTGCAATTTCTGCTGACAGGCAGAAGGACACAGGGGAAGCAGAGATTTTAATTGAAAGACATATGACGAAAGTGTTGTTTCGGAACTATCTCCATAACCAATTTGCTTCATACATCATCTTTGTTGAGCATTTGGCATGGTGTCAAGTACAGAGAAAGAAAACTTGATAAATATTAATTTCCTTTCTATACTTCGTTCCCATTACTGTGGATATTTGCCCAAGCCTACTGTTACCTCGCCAACCCTAGTTCTATTTTTGCTCCTCATACTTTTCCCATAGGAAAATCATTTAAATATAATAGCCATGAATGTTTGGTAAATAGCACACTAACCTGGCAGACAGATAATCGGGAATAAGATGTTTTGTTTGGTTTTTCTAAGCAAGGTTTCAGACTAACAATAAATCTACAGAATAATCACAACAAGTGATTATTTTTCTAGTTGCCACAGCCCCAGGTCAAAGTTCAGTTTGAAAGTCTTTGCTTCTTAATGCTAATTGGTATTTTTTGCCATGCTGTCATACAGAAAGTATTCACCACATGAATTCTTGTTCCAAATTATGAATAGAATAACTAGGAAAAAGAAATTTTCTTAAGAGTGACCTGTATATATTCTGTTGAGATACACTCTTAAAACTTGAAAAAATGAAGGTTAAAAGCCTTACTATTTTCTTGCGTACAAAATTCTACCTCATCATCACATATAATATTTTTATTATTAAAACAAATGTCAAAAATTTAAAGGCTAAAATTTACTCTGGGGTAATGGCTTCCCCATTTTGCACTTCGTGAATTCCTCATCTTGGGTGAACTAAAAATGAACAATGAATCATATGTGGTTTAGAATGACTCAAAATTCTAAAGAATAGATGTGTTAATTATTATGCATTATTTCCCAGAAAAAAAATGTGTAGATTTGTGGCCCAAACTCCTATTTAAAAATCCACCAACCTCTACTTACATACTAAGCTTTCAAAAGAGAAATTTAGAGCTAGAAAGGGTACATAAGATATAACATAAGCCAACATTTTTATATGACTGCTGAGAAAATTTAAAGAATTCAATCAAGAATATTTATACATATATTTTTTTTATTATTGCTGTTCAGTTACAGTTGTCCCACTTTTTTCCTTGTTGCTCTCCCCTGCCCCACTCCCCCCCACAGTCAATCCCCACCCCATCGTCCAAGCCTATGAGCCCTCTATTCATGTTCCTTGACTTGCTCCTTCCCTTTCTTTTCCCTGTTATCCTCCTCCCTCCTCCCCTCTGGTCACCGTCAGTTTGTTCTTTATTTCCATGTCTCTGGTTCTATTTTGCTTGTTTGTTTGTTTTGTTCATTAGGTTCCACTTATAGGTGAGATCATATGGTATTTGTCCTTTACCACCTGGCTTATTTCACTTAGCATAGTGCTCTCCAGTTCCATCCATGTTGTTGTAAACGGATGGAGCTCCTTTCTTTCCGCTGCATTGTATTTTATTGTGTAAAGGTACCACAGTTTTTTGACCTACTCATTTACTGATGGACACTTAGGCTGTTTCCAGCACTTGGGCATTATAAATAACATTGCTATGAACATTGGGGTGCATAGGTTCTTTTGAATTAGTGTTTCAGGATTCTTAGGGTATAATCCCAGCAGTGGAATTGCCAGGTCAAAAGGCAGTTCCATGTTTAGTTTTTTGAGGAAATTCCATACTGTTTTCCACAGTGCAAACAATATGGAATTTCCTGAATGAATATATTTTTGAATTTTAAGAATGTTATTATTAAATGTTCATTGCTATATACGATTATTACATTTATGAGAAGTTTAAAGTATTTGGTTTTGAAGTCTTCCTTCTTTTTAGACAAAATGTTTATAATTCTAGTTATGTTAACTCTGAATTCCAAGCAGCAATATGTTTCATTCCTTGAAATGGTTGTTTCATGGAATTCTACCTAGCTCAGCCTGCCATACGCTTCACTCTAACAAGCCTAAAAAGTGATAATACCAACATCTATGTACCCGTGTAGTTTGAATGGAGGAGAAAATGCTTACAGTGACATAAGTTTTTGGAAGAGCAAGAGGAAACGAGGTGAAAATGGAATAATACATTTTTGTGGCAACATGAAGTGTAAGCAAAGTCCTCCTAAGTTACATTAGAAATTAGAGGTATAAAAGTACTTCTGTGTATTGTGGGTACCAATGAGGTACTTAAAGAGAGAATTTTTCAGGACTTTAGGGAGCAGTTTTGATTTGCTTAATATGCTTCTTCCCAACTCCCCATTAACATACAGATGAGTATATCCAGTTTTGTTTTTAAATTTCAAATAGCTCTGTAAACTCAGAAGACCTTATGCCAAATTTGGGGTGGAATTTTCACTAAAGATGGCATCAAAGGAGATGGATGAACTATATAGCAGATTCTCCCACCCTCTGAATTCAAACCAGACAAGTTGTTCCTAAGAGACGGGACATACTTCAACTCGCCTTCTATTGCATACCTCCACTACAATCATTTCCCTCCTGGGTCTTCACAACATAGCAGCAGAGCACGCGCACATTCTCCACGCCGGTAGAAAGAGTGCTTTCGTGCCTTCCCCCGCGGTCTGGAGCACACATGAAGAGTGGGCCCAAAAATAGGATAGAAAAAGACAGATATTTAAGACAAAATGTATTTGTACATTTCAAGGTGTAATTTCTGTAACAGGGTAATTAGCTTTTCAGATTATCAATGTGCTTTTCTCTCCCTCATTTGAGGCACATGACTTGCCCCTTAGTCTTCTCTAAGTAACTATTTTCCTGAGTTATAAAAGAAATGCCAAAAAAAAAAAAAGACTAGGATACTATCAACTCTTTTATTCAAATATAGAATTTTGTAGCAAGACAATAAACAGCCTTGTAAGTTTAGATAATAAGCTTTTACATCAGAAAAAAGAAAGTCCTTCGGGTCCCTGGGAAAAAGGCAAGAGGAACAAGACTATATTATAAATATTTTTGAAATAGGGCAACTAAATGCAAAAGCCAGGAAACTTGAAATTGAAACAGGCATATTTCTAAAAGTAAAAGTAAATACTAGAGAAGGTCTGTGAGTCCGTTACATGAACAAAAATACACTGAGTATTGGAGGATTGGAGTTGAAAAAAGTCCTGCTTTCCCAGGTTCCTTCGACAATGTTCCACAAATGTTAATAGGAAGGGTTGTGAGTTTAGATTTAGTTACAAATGCATCAGAAATATAACATAGCTTATTTTCCTGCAAATACTCATGTATCAATTTACTATCGCTTTCAAGTATCCAGTCAGTTTAGGGCTCCCTTATGCTCTTTAACTAGGTTGTTGATGTAGCAACAAGGCGACAGGCAGAGCATCTGCTTTTCAGTGGTGATGGCCACATAGGCCCCACCTAAGAAACCTGTCATTCAGTCCGGTCCTCAGGTTCAAACATCATCCGTCCAAACAAGGTGACACTGAGGCGTCACACCACCTTATAGCACTCTGCACACTGTGATCCCTGTAGGCCTGGACTCACCAGTCTCAGTCTTGTCTTCTCTACGCAGATGCCATTTCTCAAAACTCTGCTTACAAGGCAGGTTACGCTGGCTCCATACAGAACTCCAGTGATGCTGTTTCCTCCGTTTGTCCTCGCACTCTCCAACTTCAGGAATATTTTTCTATTCTCTGAGTGCAGTAGGAGAAAATATCTTACCACCACTGCTAAAACATTTTCTCTATAATTCAGTATTTCCCTAAAGACCGTAAGCTTTTCAAAGACAAATTACATAACTATAAAAAATAAACTTACTTATTTCTACACTGACACATCTCTCTCCTGAGTAAATGAGCACAGATTCAGGGGGTGTCCAAGCTGTGCTCCACAGGCCACATGTGGCCCAGGATGGCTGTCAATGTGGCCCAACACAAAACAGTAAATTTACTTAAAACATTATGAGATTTTTTTGTGATTGCATAACTCAATGTATTTAATGTGTGGCCTGAGACAACTCTTCTTCTTCCAGTGTGGCTCAGAGATGCCAAAAGGTTGGACTCCTCTGGTAGATACTTGAATGATGAAACAGTGAAGGAGAATGAAAGGAAATATGAGTCAGATGGAAGAAACGCCTCTAAAATGATATCCCCCTGGTATTAACATTTTCATTTTTTGTTAAATTTAAATTCTCTTTTTACCCTATGGTCATTGGAGAAAGATTTTTAAATTCTATGTTTGTTTTGTCTTTTTTTAACCTTTTAAAATTAACTTCTAGGATGGTTACATTTTAGAGAATGTACTCTTTATTTATTTATTGTTTTTGCACTGGCCTGGTGGCTCAGTTGGTTGGAGTGTCATCCCATACACTAGGTTCGATTCCTGGTCAGAGCACATACAAGAGACAACCAATCAATGTCTCTCTCTTTCTCTTTCTCTTTCTCTCTCTCTCTCTCTTCCCCCCACCTTCCAATTTTATTTTTTAAATAGAATAAAAGTTATGTTTTTGAGGAATAAAATGAGGTTGTTTTGTAGCCAATATACTATTTTTAAAGAAGTACAGTCCACCTCATATCAAAAATTTATGTACTATTAATCCATTATTAATTATATTGTTAAATTCTCTGAAAACTTATTCTTCTCCTGCTTGAACTGCTATGTTGTTAGGAGTTATTTTATCGCAAACAATATAAACCCAATTCAAACTAGCACCATTCATTGAAAGAATTAGTTGGTAAAACTGGGATTTCCAAAATATACGCTTCTTCAGCAAAGGCTGGATCTTGGGATCCAAATGATGGAATTGGTACTTTTCTCATTTCTTAGCTTTGCTTGCCCATCTGCATTTCCCAGGCTGGCTCTCTCTCTGTGGCAACAACAAGCTTCTGGGAAATCCAGGCTTCTATGGTCCTTACTTGTTGTAATCACAGAAACAGAGGAAAGGATGTGGGCAGGAAAAAAAAAATGTGACAACTTTATCTTTCAAAGCCCGAGATGAGGATGTTAAATTTTTCTGCAACTATAGTATTCTGCATATTTCTCCGTTTCTCCTCATAATTCTTGACTATATATGTTGATGTTACTTTAGTCACTGCATAAAGGCTTATGATTTTTATAACTTGATCATGCAATGTAGTGTGTATGATAAAAATGATCTTTTTAACCATTTAATATTTTGACCCTTGATATCTACATTATCTGAAACCATTAATTTCATCTCTGTTTTTCAGTTTGCCTTATGAATCTTTGTCCATCCCCTTATAAAATTTGTGTATTATTTTAGAAGTCCCCATTGAAAGCAGTATAGAGATCCTGTGTTTTTTTTTAAAAGGGTTTTTTTAAAGATTTTATTTATTTATTTTTAGAGAGGGAAGGGAGGGTGATAGAGAGAGAGAGAGAAACATCAATGTGCGGTTGCTGGGGTCATGGCCTACAACCCAGGCACGTACCCTGACTGGGATCCAACCTTCGACACTTTGGTTCTCAGCCTGCGCTCAATCCACTGAGCTACACCAGCCAAGGGCAAGATCCTGTTTTTTAACTTACTTAACCGGCAAAACTTTGTTTTGATTAGAGAATGTAACCCATTTAAATGTATTACCAAAACTAATATGTTTCATCTTATTTTACTATCTTGCATTGTGCTTTTTTTAAAGGCTTTTATACCACTTCCTCCATTTTCTGTCATTTGTTGTTGGGGTCGATTTTATCTTTAACAGATTTGGAAGATTTAAATCCAGTTTTAACTTTTTTTTGATACTTAGTGTTTTAAAAACTTTCTTTTTCATTCTTTACTAATTTTCATATAAGATTTGTTTAAAAATCTTTTTACATTCATACATTAAATCTTTCTACATTCACACATTAACATTCTTCTCATTGATTTGTAGTCTTTATTCATATTACCTGGACATTTAGACTCACATTATTATTATTTCTTTTTATATGTAATTTTTAAAGGTTTTATTTATTTATTTTTAGAGAGAGGGAAAGAGAGGGAGAAAGAGAGGGAGAGAAACATCAATGTGTGGTTGCCTCTCATGTGGCCCCCTACTGGGGACCTGGCCTGCAACCCAGGCATGTGCCCTGATGGGGAATCAAACCTGCAACCTTTGGTTCACAGGCCATGCTCAATCCACTGAGCTACACCAGGTAGGGCTATATGTAATTTTTACATAATTCTCTTTTAAGATCAATTTCCAACATTTGCATTCATTTTGCATAACAAAACACACAACAATTATTTACACCTGGTGTGGTAGTTAATTTTATGTGTCTGCTTAACTGGATCACAGGGTGCCTGAGTATTTGCTTAAAAATTATTATGGGTGGATCTATAAGGATGTTTCTAGATGGAATTAACATTTCATTCAATAGACTAAGTAAAGCAGATTGCCCTCACCAATGTGCATGGGCCTCATTCAAACTGTTGGAAACCTGAAAAGAAGAAAAAATGTTGAGTAAGAGAGAATGTGTTCCCTTTGCCTGACTGTCTTCAAGCTGGGACATCAATCTCTGTTTGAGAACTAGAACTCGGACTGCAGCTTACATGATCCGCCCTCCTGTTCCTCATGGCTTGGAACTCAGATTGGACTTATATCATTGGCTCTCTCTAGTCTCCAGTTTGCAGACTGAAGGTCATGGGCCTTCTCAGCCTTCACAATCGCATAAGCCAATTCCATATGTATATATATCTCATATATATAAATGGGAGATCTCATATCGGTTTGGTTTCTCTGGAGAAGCCTGACTAATACACCTAGTTTTATGTTTGAATTATTTCACTGCATAAATCCTCTTAGAGAATACCTTACACATTTAAAAATTTTTATTAGCTTCACTTTATTAAGTCATCTGAAATATGTTTTCAAGCACAGTAATTTTTTAACAAAAAGTATGTGGATGGTGTGTTTACTGAACTATTCTATATATTTTTATGTGCCCTCATGTAGTCTTTGCAAATAAACAAAAATTTGAGTGGATATAAAATGCTTGAGGTACAGTTTTACACACTTAAGATTCTATAGAAAAAAATTCATTGTGAACTGATATTTACTACTGTGAAAAAATGTTCAAGTGAGCTGACTTTTGTTTCATAGGTTAAAAAATAATTATTTATTTCCAAATAATTATTGTAAATTTTTAAAATTCTTTATCTTTAAAATGGAAGTGTTGGTCAAGACATGCTTGTCTCTCTGCTAATTTTCTTTGGAACATGGTGAGTCTTTTAAAGCAATATAATGTCAGGGTTTTGTTTTATCTGGTCAGAAAAGCATTTCTTGGTTTGTTGCTTCGTTGTTTGTTCATTTTTTGATTTTTAATCTTTAAATTTTTGCTTCTCTGATTTTCCACTCTGAAAATTTATAATTTTTAATATGGATCACTGTTCTCTATCTTCAATGCCTACCATCTTCTCTTCTATATTTTTTATTCTGCCCTCGTATTGTGGAAAACCTTTTCCAAGTAACTCTGCTATATCATTGATTAAATTTTTTGTTAATAGAGTCTGCCCTTACTGAGTGCATTGTTGATTTTAATTCTATTCGATTTTTCATTTTCTTGACAATTTACTCATTTCAGGCAGTTGATTTTATTTCTAGCACATTTCTCCATCACATTTCAAACTACTAACTCTTTATAAGGTAATTTGTATTCTCTTTTTTGGTTTTATGTTTCAATTTCATAAAGACTATCTTTCCTAGCATTTTAATGACTATGCCAAAAGGTTTTCCAAAACATTCTCCTGGTTCCAATAGTAAATTATTTTCAAAATATGCAACCCCTCTGATCTTCAGGGGGAAAATGACTTCTTATTTTCATTTTTTGGAGGCTTATATCATCTCTCTCTCTCTCTAATTCTACTGAACAAGGAAGACTTTTTTTCAGTTCTTATAAATTCCAACACAGTCTTACTTGTCCATGATGCTATCTCACTCTCTTTGGGGAGGTTAACAGAATTCCTCCCTGTGCTCTTTCTGGGATGCAAGTTCACATGCAAATATGCTGGTTTATTCTTATCTCAAAGGCTTCAGTTGGGGTCTTCCCAGACTGCCAATTCCTTTGACCCTTTTCTCCCATAGAATATTATAAAATTCATAACCTAAAGTTCTCTCAATATCTACCCTAATTCATTTTCTCTCGGAACTACATTTCTCTGTATACAACAAGCCATATTGTTCTCACTCTCCCGTGGCCTGATGCAATCACCAAAAGTCCATATATCCTGTCTTGTTGCTTCTAAGTGGTTTTACAAAGGTTGCAGTTTCAAAGTGGATGTATATTTTTAAAAATGGAACAGGAAAGAGGCTGAGATCAGAGTAGGAACAATCCTCTGAATGCCTCAAAACTAACATCAACTTACTAGCCTACCTAGGCTGTTAACAGTGACTTTTCCATACAAATGGCTTGTCTTGGCTCATGCTTCAGATCTTCCTAAATCCTCTTAAACAAACAGCAGCTGGCCTCAGCAAGCCTCTGTACCTCTTGCTAAGTGACCCCAGGCCCAGCACCAGCAGCAACTAACCTTAGTTCACAGCCTGGTCACACTTGGGCACCTCTAAGCCCAGCACAAGTAGCAGCCATCAGCATAACGCTTTATAGTTTATGCCAAGTGGCCCAGATGCCAAGTGGCCCAGATAGAACATAGGCAGTGGCTGACCTTGGTCTGCACCTCCTGGGAAACACCAGAGCTTGCGCACCTGGTGGACAACTATAAACCACATTGAAGCGCCACCACCCAACTAAGAGGTCTGTCTGGAAAAAGTCCAATTATTTTTAATAACAAGAATGGTTTGTGTGGCATGGATATAAAATGGCAGCCAAGGAGAATGGACTATAATGTACATGCGTGAACAATGATGACTTCACTGTACTAGTTAGTGGGGTCTGTAGACACCATTGAGTGAGCATGTGTGCTATGTGGCCATAGCATTCAAAATGACTGAGTGAACAGAGCAACAAATTTGCATCAAATATTGCATTAAGCTTGAACATTCCTCCATGGAAACTATTCGGAGGATTCAGAAGGCCACATCTATGTGCAACTGGTGATTGGCAGCTTCATCATGACAATGCACCCACTCATGCATCATGTCTCATGCAGAGTATTTTGGAGAAACATCAAATCACCCAGGTGACTCAGCCCCCCTTGAGACCAGATTTGGCACCTGTGACTTCTGGCTTTTCCCCAAACTGAAATCACCTTTGAAAGGGAGGATATTTCAGACCATTATGAGATTCAAGAAAATATGACAGGGCAACTGATGGCTATTGGGAGAACTATGTGAGGTCCTAAGGTGTCTACTTTGAAGGGGACAGAGGCATCATTATCCTATGTACAATGTTTCCTGTATCTTGTATCTTTGTCAATAAATGTCTCTATTTTTCATAATACATGGCTGGATACCATCCAAACACACCTCATACCTCTAAAAGGAGCACACTCAAGGGACAGACTCAGTGGGCACCACAGCCCTGCTGAAGTAAGTCTTCCTGTGTGGAGTAGGCCCTAGCACATCTGATCCTCTGTGGAGGGTGGAGGTTAGTGGTCAGTGGTCATAGCCAGTTGTCACAGTTGACTGGCCTGGGTAAACCCCTCTCATTGGCCTGCCAACAGCAACCAAAGCTCATCTACAACAGGAGGGTGCATCAGCCTACACGAAGGGCTCATCTCGAGTACCCAGCTTGGGTGATAGGGAAGGCTGTGCACCTGGACGCTACAGGACACCTACTACATTAGGCCACATGACCAAGACAGGAAGTCATAGCAGTTCTACCTAATACATAGAAACACACACAGGGAGGCTGCCAATATGAGGAGACAAAGAAATGAAAGGACAGAACAAAACTCCAGAAAAATAACCAAACAAAATGGAGATAAGCAGTCTATCAGATGCAGAGTTCAAAACACTGGTTATAAGGATGTCAAGGAATTTAATGAGTACCTCAAGCGCATAAAAAAGATCCAGCCAGAAATGAAGGATACACTAATTGAAATAAAGAACAATTTACAGGGAACCCACAGTAGAGTGGACAAAACTGAGAATCAAATTGATAATTTGGAACATAAGGAGAAAAACAACCAATCAAAACAACAAGAAGAAAAAAGAATCCAAAAAAGCAAGGATAGTTAAAGCAGCCTCTGAGACAACTTCAAGTGTACGAACAGCCACATATTAGTGGTGCTGGAAGGTGAAGAGAAAGAGCAAGAAATTGGAAACCTATTTGAAAAAAAAAAACAGTGAAAGAAAGCATCCCTAATTTGTTGAAGAAAATAGATATATAAGTCCAGGAAGCACAGAGTCCCAAACAAGATGAATGCAGAGGACCAATCCAATTAAAATGCCAAAGGTTAAAGATAAAGAGAGAATCTTAAAAGCAGCAAAAGAAAAGAAGTTAGTTACCTACAACTAAGTTCCCATAACAGATTTCTCAAAAGAAATTTTGCAGGCTACCAGAGATTCGCAAGAAATATTCAAAGTGATGAAAAGCAAGGAACTACAACTAAGATCACTCTACCTAGCAAAGCTATCATTTAGAATTGAAAGGCAAATAGAGAGATTCCCAGACAATAACACATTAAAGGAGCCCATCATCACCAAATGATTATTCTATGAAATATTAAAGGGACTTAAGAAAAAGAAGAAGATCAAAACTATGAACAATAAAATGGCAATAAATGCATATTTATCAACAATTGAATCTAAAAAACAAACTAAGCAAACAAGCAGAACAGAAACAGAAGCATAGATACAGAGAACATTTTGATGGTTACCAGAGGGAAGGGAGGTCTGAGGGAGTAGGTGAAAAGGTGAAGGGATTAAGAAGTACAAATAGGTAGTTACAGAATAGCCATGGGGGTGTAGAGTACAGTATAGGAAAGGAAGCAGCCAAAGAATGACATGCATGACCCGTGAACATGAACAATGGTGTGGGGATTGCCTGAGGGAGTTGGCGGGGGTGCTGTGTGGAGGGGAACAAAGGGAGAATAATTAGGGTAATTGTAATAGCACAATTAATAAACTATAATTTTTAAAAAATAATAATAATACTTAGGTTATGGTGGGACCACCCTCCCCACTTGTTACCCACTTGTTATCCATTGGTCTGGAGCTCACCTGTTCTCAGAGGGGAGCACAGAGGAGGTCTCTCCACTTACTTTCAAGTAGGAGGTTTCTTCCATTCCAAGAGAAAAAAGAATAAAAAACAAACAAATCAGACAACCTACACTGGTCATGAATTGTGAGCATGACTGTCAGTTGTGATTATTCTTTAAATAACTTTAAAAATAACAGCTGTCAGGCTTAGTTTTCATTGTTCTGAGTGTTCATTCTTTTCTCTGTTTTCATAAATACCTTTGTAAGAAATTTGGAAAGTTACTAAAAAAGTACCTGCTAGCCTGATGCTATTTAAATTTGACTGTAGGTCAATATTTAAAGTAACACTGAAAAAATTAATTTATTTTATTTCTTTTTCTTCTTGTCATTATTGTTATTATTGCTATTGTGGACCAATAATAACAGCTACCATTTGTTGAATGTGTCCTATCAGGCAGGCACTGGGGTGAGCACCTTGCATAAACTTTTTCTAATTCTCGTGACACCAAAAAAAGATAATTACTACTAATCTCACTTTTCATAAAAAACATTGACATTTAACGAGTTAAAGTAACTTGCCTAAATTATCCTGCTAGTAAGTTGTGACACAACAATTCATAATCGGGTGGCTTTGATGCCACATTCCTGAATCTGTTACCTGATGATGCATCACCTAGCAAAGGATCCTGGGGCTGTAGAAATACAACCACCGCCATAATTGAACTTTTCCTGCATACAAATTTTGTATAGCAAACATTCTTACAGTAATCCTGTACAAACTGCCAACAAGTATCACTAGTCATATAATAGGGAAAATAAGATAGCAATTAATAGTATAACTAATTCAGGTCAATTAACACGAAGTCTTTGATCGAGCACTAATGGCCGCAGAGATGCATAGACATGTATTTGCTCTACGTCTGTGATGCTAGTTCTGATTGTAGAGATAGTATTTTTTCAATGCATCACGTCATTAAACGAGTTATTTCCTGTATTCAACTTCCTTCGGCAAGATTTAAGCTTGTTGATAAAAAAATGCTAACTTCTTGGGTTTACAATCCATATTCTTTCAGCTAAAGGCCAGATTTAGAGTTATTGGGAATGAATGACTGAGTCAGCTCTATATAATTATAAAAAAACATTATTCTGCAAAATAGCTGATTTTAAGAGAGCAGTTCTTTAATTCTCTATTGCTTCATTGTTTTTCATGTTTTAAAACCTAAACTCTGAACAACCTCTACAGTATTGTTGTAGGAGTTTGAATTCCAACCTAAAAAATGTCTTTAGTACTTTATTAGAGGGAGGCTGGAAATAAATATTCCACTTAAAATGAGTGTAAGCATATGTTGTTCAGAATCACAGTTGCTTGCAGCATAGGAATAAAAGGGATCCTAACTAAGTAAAGCCTCTAATTTCACTCAGAACAAAACTATAATCCAAAGGCTCAAACAGATATATCATCAAGAATATATGAATATTAACACAGACCCTGAAACATTGAAAGGTAATAAAGGGACAACTCTATACACATAAATTTAAAAACTTAGGTGAAATGAATCAATCAATTCCTCAAAAAGTATAAATTACCATAGTCACCCAGTATGAAATAGTTTAAATAGCCCTATAACTATTAATGAAATTGAAGTCATAATTTTACAACTTTCAAAAAATCTCTAAGCTCAGAGGATTTCATGGGAGAAATTTACAAAAAGCTGAAAGAAGAATTAGTACCAATTCTATACAATCTATTTCAGGAAATAGAAAAGACAGGAATATTTCTTAATTCATTTTATGAAACTAGTTATTCCCTGATGCCCAAACCAGGTAAAGACTGCCAAAAACAACAACAACAACAACAAATAGATGAATATCCTGAATATAGATGTGAGAATTTTAGCAAATAAATTTAGCAATTTAGCAATATCTAAAAAAGAGTTACATACAATTACCAAGAGGGATTTATTCCTAGGATCCAAGCCTGTTTCAATATTTAAAAATCAATGTAATCCACTATGTAAAAGACTAAAGAAGAAAAATCACATGATCATATCGATTGATGCAGCAAAAGTCATTTGGCAAAATTCAAAATCCATTCATGATAACAAACAAAAACAAACACATCTCAGAAAAATAGAAGTAGAGAAAAACTTACTCAACATGATAAAGAGCATTTATTTTAAAACTTACAGCTACCATTATACTAAATGGTAAAACACTAAATGCTTTCCTCCGAAGATCAGGAGCAAGGCAAGGATTTCACCCTCACCACTTTTTTTCAGCAAAGTGCTATAAGTTCTGGCTGGTGCAATCATGCTAGAAAAGACCTAAAAGGAAAAAAAACAAAACAGTCCCTATTTACAGACAAGATTGTTTACATAGAAAGTCCCAAGAAATCTACAAAAGAACTTCTGGAACTAATAAGTGGGTTCAGCATGGTCATAGGATACAAGACATACTTTAAAAAATTAATTATATTTTATACACTAGCAACGAGCACATGAACACTAAAATTAAAAATATAAAACTATTGGTAATCACAAAAATAAATACATGTAAATCCAATAAAACATGTACAGAATGTGTATGCCTAAAACTACAAAATTCTGATGAAATAAATCAAAGAAGAGATAATAAACAGAGACACACCATGTTCATGGATTGGAATACTCAACATAGTAAATATGTCACTTCTCTTCAAATTCATACACAAGTTTAATGCAATTCCTACCAAAATCACAACAAAACTTTTAGTAAATATAGAGAAAATTATCCTAAAATGGAACAGAAAGACATAGGAACTCAAATAGCAAAAGTAAAATGAAAAAATTATTCTAAATGTATTTAGAGGAGGTTGAAGGTATTAGAATAGTTAAAAAAAACAATTTCAAAAAAGAAGAATAAAGTAGAAGAAACCAGTCTACCCAATTCCAACGTACTTTATAGCTATAGTAATCAAGACTGTGAGTTGTTGGCAGTGGGATAGACACATAGATCAAGGGGTCAAGGGAACCGAATGGATAATCCAGGAATGAACTCACAGAAATATGCCAGCTGATTTTTGACAAAGGTGCACAAGCAATTCAATAGAGAAAAAATAGCCTTTTCAATAAATGGTCCTGGAACAGTTAGACATCCTGAGGCATAATAAAATGAACATTGTCCTAAGGTAAAAATTAACTCAAAATAGATCATGGACTTAAATGTAAATAAGCTTTTTAAAAAAGACAAGAGAAGATCTTTGGGGTCTCAGACTAGGCAAAGAAAGAAGTCTTAGACTTGACACTAAAACCATGGTATGAAAGAAAAAAATTAAACTTTTACTTTAGGAAAGACTTGCTTCAGAGGATTAAAAATCAAGCTACTGCCTGTAGAATATATTTGCAAACCATACAAGCAACAAATGATGAGTATCTAGAATATATAAAGAACTTTCAAAACTCAAGTAAACAAATAAACAGTAAGATCAGAAAGTGGACAAAAAGACATGAACAGAAACTTAACTGAAGAGGATAAATAAATAGCAAATAAAAGCATGTTCAACTTTATTATCCCTTGAAATGTGCAAACTCAAATCACAATGAAACATCACAACACACTTGTGAAAAGAGCTAAAGTCAAAGACAGTGGCAATACCAAATGCCAGTAAGTATGTGAAGAAATTGGATCACTCAAGTATCACTGGTTGGAATGTAAATGGTACAGCCACTCTGGAAAGCAGTTTAACAGTTTCTTTAAAAATTAAACATGCAAATTCCACATTATCTAGTAATTACACTCCTGGGCCTTTATCCCAGATAAATAAACATTTATGTTCACACAAATACCTATATGAGAATTGTTAAAGAAGCTTCATTTACATCAACCAAAAAGTAGAAACAACCTTGATGTCTTTCCATGGGCAAACAAACTAGAACATCCAGACGATGGAATATTACTCAGCAATATAAAGGAATGAACTACTGACACACACAACTACCTGTATGAATTTCCAGGATATTAGGCTCAGTGAAAAAAAAAAAATCCAAAAGGTTACATACTATAGGGTTCCATTTATATGGCATCCTTAATGTAACAAAATTATAGAAAAGGAGAACAGATTAGCAGTTGTCAGGGGCCAAGAAGAGAAAGAGAAAAGTGGATGTGGCTATTAAAGAGCAGTATGGGGGATCCTTTTGGTGGTGGAAATGTTCTGTGCCTTGACTGTAGTGACATCAATATCCTGGCTGTAATATTGCACTACTGTTTTGCAAGATAGTACCAGTCAGAGGAACTGGGTTAAAAAAATACACATAAGTCTACAGTTACCTCAAGGTAAAAAATATAAGTATTAAGAAAGATAATAAGAAAATATTAAATGAAATGATAAATTATTTGCAAAGGGAACTAGAGAAACTGAAGAGTCTTATGTCTATTAAAGAAATTGAATTTATAGTTCAAAACCTTCTTACAAAGGAAATTTCAGGTACAAAAGCTTTGATGGTAAAGTCTCATGAAAAAAAGCATCAGTTCTGCACAAATACACACAAAAAAATCAAGGATTGAAAACTTTTCAACTCATCTAAAATGCTAATATTACTCTGAAGCCAAAACCAAAGAATAATATTACAAGAAAAGAAAACTACAGACCACTGTAACCCATGAATGTAGATACAAAAATTCTATACAGAATTTTAGAAAACTGAATTCAACAATATATGAAAAGCATGATAAATAAAAAGAAGTAGGATTTATACCAAGAACACAAGTTTCATTTAACATTCAAAAATCAATCAGTGCATTCCAATATATTAACGAACTGAAAAGGAACAGCCATATGACCAACACAATTGATGCAGGAAAAGCATTTGAGAAAATCCAACATCCATTCATAATATAATTTTTAAAAAATCACCAGCAAATAGGGACTAGAAGGGAACATTCTTTTTTTTTAATCCTCATGCTAGGACATTTTTTCATTGCTTTCAGAGAGAGAATAAGGAAGAGAGGAAGGGAGAGAGAGAAACATTGATGTGAGAGAAAACATTGATTGGTTGCCTCCCGTACGCACCCAGAACCCGCAACCCAGGTATGTATGTGCCCT